ACAACATCTTCATATCTTTCTATTCAAATTTTGGTTATAAGGGTGGTTTCCAAGAAGTGCTGAAACCTCATAATCTTCTTTATCATCCCCTTTCGTGGGAAAGCGGAACATCAATTGCTCAAAGATACTATGAAAACATTGATTTGTCCTTTCAGTTGAGTATTGGTAATACCGTCATACCCGAAATGCCAACGATGGGGGTTGCTGACAACTACAAGCATCTACAAGAAACACGAAACAATCACGTTTCAATCAAACCTCATATGTATAGGACGAATTCCTTTTAGCGGGGTTCAACCTCAAGAAACTCAACAGTGCCAATTACACTGGACTGAATTTGAAGAACAATTCAAATATGGTTGTCCGTGTTAAGCCATTGTATGGAACAGACCTATATACAACAGACAACGGAACTGATACTGGACTGATGCCTGACAAAATGTATATCGCTATTGAACACGAATGTATCTTGGAGATAAAAGCCCAATCTGTCATTTTCTATGACTAAAAAAGATAGTGGATAACTAATAAAATTATAATGAATATTTTTATTAATTATTTTGATTTTAATTTTGGATAGATGATTGACTTGTAAAGTTCCTTCGCTTCCTTTAGATACTGTTTCTTATCCTCTCCCTTGCTTGATTTCCATTTACCATATACTTCTTGAAACCTTTGATAGTCTCCTGTGTCTATGCTTTTGCTGTTGTTCATCTCTTCAAACTTCTCTCTTATCACTTGTATTCCTACCTTGCTTGGTGATATTGCCTTGTTCATTGTTGGTTTCCTGACTGGTGCTTTTGATGAAGATGACGCCCCTGTTTCTTCCTGTGCTGTCTCTGCTTCATCTACATTGGGTGTCTTGTTGTCTTTGGAGATGTTGATTGTTGCTCCTAATGCTTGTGGTTGGGGTTGCTTTCCTCTTACTCTTCTTGCTTTGGGCGGTTTGGTGGTTGTGGATGGGTCTTCCTGAAATTCTCTCTTCTCCTGCGTTGGCGGTTTTGGTTTCTGCCTCTTTGCTTTGGACTGTCTCACGCTTAAGGGTTTCCTCTTTTCTGCTGTTGGTATTGCCGAAGTGTCCATTGCTTCTGCGGTGTCGGGCACTACATCTACGTTCATTTTTGATTTTTCCTCCTTCAACTTCTTTTGGTGATTTACCTTTTTGACTTGTTTGTTGATTAGTTTTTGTGTTGGTTTTATCTTGGACGGTTTCTCTTCCTCGTCTTCGTCGGGTATGATGGCGTCTGTCAGTTTTGATGCTATTAGTCCTCCTATTGACCCTCCCTTTGCTGTTCCTCCTGCTGTGGCGACTGCTTTGATGACTGGTTTGGATGATTTAAGGAATTTCTTTAAGATGCTTCTACTGCTTGAAGGCGGTTCTTCGTCCTCTTGTATCCCTGCCGATGCTGTTGCTCCGACGGCGTCGTATGCCCCTTTGTTTGCCATATAGTGGTCTTGTGAATGACTTAAGTTTGCCTGTTCTGCTACTCTCCTTTCGTTCTCTTCCCTCAACTCTGCCTCTCTGTCAAAGGACATCTCAAAGTCACTGATGGCGTCGTCCCTCAAGTCGGTCATATCTTCAAAGTCAAGGTTGGGTGTTTCTTCTTCCTTCCTTGCGGTCGCTTCCTCTGCCATCTTTTTGAAGTTCATTTGCTGTAAGTCTGCTGGGTGGATGTTGTTTGTGTTCAGTGCTTGACCCTGCAGACTTTCGTGAAAATACCAAGCGTTCCTATCTTGAACTTTTCCCTGTCTATTTCCTTGATGAGTTCTGCGTAAGTGGGTATTCGTGTCAATCCCTGTTTTGCGTTGATTACTTCTGCTGTCATTGCTATATATTAATACTTTAGTTTTTTATATTAATCTTGTGTATCGCCTCTCAACCACTGTTTATACTCATCAATTCTCTGTTTCATATTCTGGACGTTCGCCCCGTAATCTTCCAATCTGTGATTTTTCCTCACCTCCCTCAACCTTGTCATTTCGTTCTGTAGCATCTCATTCTCTTCCTTCATCCTCTGCTTGACCTGTAAGACCTTGTAATCGTGCTCGGTGTTGTGATATTCAAGAAGACGCTTCAGGTAAAGATGATGGTTGTGAGTTGGCATCCTTGCCGTGTTGCTGTCGTTGTGGTAGTAGTGGTCATAACTACTATACACTTTTTTTCTTCTGTCTGGCATTTCGGGCGTTCCGCTCCTGTAGTTGGCACTTTTGTTTGAATGGACGGTTTGTCTTCTGTTGATGTCCCTGCGGACGTTTTCGTAGATGTCTGTTTTGTTGAGTTCTATTTTCTGTTCCTTGATGTTCATTTTGATATATATATATAATACTTTATAAAATGTTTGATGCTAAAGATTTCAATTTCTCTCTCGTCGCTTTGTTCTTTTCCTCTTTGGCTTTGTTGTAGGTGTCTCTGGCGGACATCGCACTTTGTAGTTCTTCCTTTATTTGTTTTACAGGGTCGCTTTTGAATGCCTCTGGGTCAAAAGGTGGTTTCGCCCTTGACGGTCTTACCCTTTTGGGTTTTGGGACTACCGTTGCTGGTTGCGGTTTCTCTTGAACTGGTGTTTCAATTATTTCTTCTGGTTTCTCCTCTTCCTTCGGTGCTTTTTCCTGTATTGGTTCTGGTATTGTTTCTTCCTTTGGTTCTTCATTATCAATCTCTTTTACGACTACCTCTGTCATATATTAATATTATAGATAATTTTTTATACTTTCAAAATCTCGTGCCTCAAATACGGTTTGTTCAATCCTTCCAGTTTGAAGGTTCTGTTTCCGACGTCGTCGTATTCTATCTTGACGATTTTGTAGGATTGATTGCTCCACTTTGAGTTATACTCCTTCCTCTCGGTGTAGTTGTCTTTTTTCTTCTCAAAGACCTTGACCATATCATTCACTTTGACCTCTGGATATTTGCGAGTGTTCTTTTCCCTCCTTGTCAAATTCACCCTGACGTCCATATGGTTCTTGTCGTCGTGGGCATCCTTGGGTTTCATTTTGGTTGATGAATGGACGGTGTCGTTGTATTTATCTAACGCTTTGGACAACATCACAGTCCAACTACCGCGATTAAACCTAACTCTATCGTGTATCATATTTTTCATTGTCCTTATGAAACGCTCCACAACATTAGCGTGTGTTAGGGTGACGACGTGAGTGATGCCTTCTTTCTCAAAAAAGTCTTTTACCCCTGCTTGGAAGGCACGGTCATTATCACTATAAACGGACATTGGAAAACCCATTTTGTTGAAACTCTCTTTCATCGCCGATAATGTAATTGGTCCAGATTTTTCTTTCATAGGGACGACGTTCGCCAACTTGCTGAAGATGTCAATGACCACCAACCCATATCTCGGTTCGTCGTTCTTGATGGGAATTTTCGTCTCTGGTTCTTTGGTAAGGGGTTTCATATCCATTATGTCAATCTGATATTCAAACCTTGCGAAGGGTGCGGTGTAGGAGTTTGAACCCCTGTATTTTCTAATCTGTTTGTTGGGCTGTTTCCTCATAAAGTTTTCCACATCCACCCTGTTGATGGTCTGGTCTTGTTCCTTGGCTTTCTTAAGGGTCTCATTGATTGAACCGAAGCCCGTTTCAAGATTGTAATAGACATTGCTTATGATGTCATCTCGTGATAGTCTCCTTGCCATTTATTATAATATTAGATTTTTAAAATTATCAGCAATAAACAATATACTTAAAGAAAAAATACCTATGTATAGTAAGAGTAAATAAGATGACTAAATTTGACTGTGGATGTCGTATCATGACAGATGTTATAACCCTGAACGATAGAAACCAACCTAATTGGAACTACTTGCTCAAAACCTTCGTGAATGTGTGTGGCAAGTGCTACAAGAAGCAAATGAAATTCCAATATATGGAAAACAAACTTCTGGTGATGGAAAAGCAAAGAATGGAAATGTTTTTGGAAAATGAAGATGAAGAGGAAGACACATACTTTGACCTGACAGAGTTGAAGGAACATCTCAAAACCCTCCCACCCAATGAAAGACACAAAGTGAAGGATTTTGAGAGGTTAAGAAACCTCGCCAATGGACAAGACCCCAATGAAGGAATGAGTGAAATTGATATGGTTATAAAGGAACTGGAAGAGGAGGAAAGGGAAAACAAAAACCAACCCGAACCCGAAAACTGAACGAACCCCCAAAAACTACTTTAAAAAAAACTATATATAGTAAGAGGATGCTATTTACATATAAAAACTGTGGATGGTGTAAAAAAGAAATGACTAACCAAAAGGTTTTATTGAACAAGATTTTCCCTGCTAGAATTTGTGATGAGATATGTAGTTATAATCTTCACTGTTCAAAATGTAAAGACTTGAGAGAAAAGGAGTATAGATATATAACATACAATCAAGACTACTTTGAAGATAAAGGAATCAATTCAGTAGCAGAAAAAACAAATATATGTCTTTAAAACAAGGATGGAAACATCGCCAATAGATTTGTCTGATAATGTGAATGACCGACAAATGAGAAGAGAAATAGACATATTGATGAAAAGTCCTACACTGAAGAAAGGCATATTTCTTCAAGCGACTAAATCTTATGTAAAGAAAAACTTGGGACATACATATCAAATGCTTGAAGACCTTCACGATATAAAAGCAATAAAGAATTCTTGGATGTTTCCTAGTTTAAACCGTTATTATGAATTTAGAAATATAGATTTCAGATTAAAATACCTATTCAAGCTTTTCTTGCGTGAATATACTAAAGAATTATTCAAACACTATGAGCATTACATTAATCAAGATGAAATAAAAGAACACCTACAAAAAGTGATAGATACTTAAAGAAAAATACCTATATATAGTAAGTGAAAAATGCCAATGATTGGAGTTAGTGAAGAGGAACTAAAAAGAGATAGAGAAAGATTAATGAATTTCATAAAAGAAAATCCTTATCCTGATTATAACTTTATAGAATATGACCTACTACTTAAGCAAAAACAATCTTTAGAGCAATACGCAGAGTATGGAGAGATAAACCACGACCTTATGAAAGAATTTTATGAAAACATATTTGATAAAGATTTAATCAAAAAACACGGTGAGAGGATACACCATAGAGGAGGAATGACAGCATTACAACAAAACTATTATACACTATTGTCAGTGTTGGGATACTTGATTGACCAACGAGGACTTGATAGAGACACAATCATTTTGGTGTTCTACAACATCAAAACGATTGTTTCTCAATGTTGGGATGGAATAAGAGACACTAAACCTAACGATTAGTTCATAATATCTTAATAAAATATATTATGATGTAATCCACCCTAAAAACCCCTTAAAGACATAACCCCTTAAAATTGTAGAGGTATAATGACTGACAAAAAGCAGTGTTCTAAATGTAAAGTCTTTCAACCGTTAGACTACTACAAAAATGAATGTAAGCAGTGTAATAAATGTTTAGAAAACAAACGCAGATACAGGGAACAGCACAAAGAAACTTTAAAACAATATGCTCAACAATACTACGAAAGGAAAAAGGAAGAAATAAGTGATAAAAAGAAAGAAACGTTGGAATGTCCAATTTGTAAATGTGAAGTAAGAAAATATACAATGAAACGACACGAAGAAAGCATCAAGCATCAAATGAACATTAATGGACACTATCTCATACAGTAAAACCACAACAACCTCAACATACCCTACCCTCATCCAAACCAAACATTAATCAAACAACTCCGACGAAACATTTAGCAAGATTAACAGAAAGAAACAGTCAAACATTTAGATTTACAACATTTTTCACAACAACATAACAGCCTCCCACCTGACCTCCAACCTGTCTTGTCCCAGTTCCCCTGGGCAGGTGGCCCTGACGGTGGCACTCCAGAGATATTTCAAAGCTTCCAGCGAGGGGGTGGTCCCTTGGACGGAGGCCTTCGAGAAAATCTGGGGATTTTCTGAAGCCAAGAATGGGGCTGACCAGGATACCCAGGCTACTCCCAAATGGCTCCAAATGGTCATTTTTATAGAGAAATTTAATGAAATTTATGATAAAAACATTAAAATTTTTGGGTAGCCTACTTTCAGACAAACCCATGTGATTCTACGTGCAGTGTGTTATATTATGATCAGCAAAAAAAACAGCTTTTTGCCTATGATATGAGGGTTGGATGAGAATTAGAAAAGGCCGGTGCCAAACAGACTTTTTGGTAACATGCCAGCTGGACGTGATGCCAAGTCGTGACCCGTAACAGAAAAAGTGCTCCATTTGGCACAGACACACCTAAAGGCCTAAAGGGGCTGCTCGGAAAACCTTGGCATGTCGTGAGGCCTTGACAGAAGCGTGGTTGCTACACTTACACCTTTACAGATCTTTACAGCATGTTATATTTTAATATATTTTATAGCCTCTGTGATTTGGATTGTTTTGGAATGATATTTGGATACTGGGGCCTACCTGGGCCTACCTCTCCCACCAGGTGTCCAACGTGTCCACTCTTTGCGCAGGTCTGTGACCCGAATCAGAGCGAGGAAGCAGAACCTGAGAGGGATGTGCTGGACCCTGCACGACCAGGCGGCATCTCTGGCATGGGGTGGATGTGAAAAAGGAGGGAAGTTTCCAGCTGACAGCTGACTGTACTTGGTAAGTTAACTGGAGCCATGGCCAGCAAATCAAGGGATTTCCTGGGAAATTCTTTGAGATGATGGCATTTTTTGGATGTTAGGCGTGATTCCATGCCCGACCTTGCTATGGCAGCGTTTTTGTGGCAGCCCCATATTCACCCCGCTTCGCGTGGGGTGGCCGCCCACACCGCAGGTTTATTTCGGTCCGTGAGAGGGGCTAAGGGTGGTTTTCCCCCGTGGGGGCTCTTCAAGCTAAGAAATTTCAATAAGAAATCCTTCCAAAACATTGTTTTTGACAGTGTTTTTCCAATGTTTCCAGTCAAACAGACGGTAATTTACACGTTTTTTGCCATAAAGGCAGTAAATCCTTCCAAAACATTGCTTTTGACAGTGTTTTTGTAATGTTTCCGGTCAAGCATACGGTAATTTACACGTTTTTTGCGATAACGTCAGTCCAAAACACTTGTTTTTGCAGTGTTTTCAATGCTCTGGCATCCAAAAACCCTGCAAAATCTTGCTATGTACAATGTTTTTTTCATTTTTGGCCGTTTTTCCATTGCCGGAAAGCTACCAAAATGACCCAAAATTCCATTTCAATACCCTCTTGCGCTCAGACACCCAAAAATCCTCGAAAAATGTCGAAAACACCACCGTATTCTGGTCTCGGTGCGAAACCGTTTTTGGGGTCTGGTCTCGGTGCGAAACCGTTTTTGGGCCCCCCCCCCCCCAGCTAAAGCTGATATAGCGACTGCTATATTAACAAATGTCATTGAGCATTTAGTGTTGCTGTTGCCCCCCAATAAGCACGCCTTCACCGCCAAAGCGGTGTGGGCGGATTTTTGGCAGCTTTAGTCACTCTGCGTCAGGTCAGCTGCACACGGGGTTCCTCTCTGCCGCGATCTATGAGAGTCTTGTGGAGGTGTGAAAACGCCTGTCATTTGGGGCTTAAACAGTTGTCACAAACTTCGAGACCTCCAATCGAAGGATTCTTGCAGATGGCCCCGAGCTCTCGTCTAGCAACTATTTGTTCTGACATCTACATTTGAATGGGCATGTACATCTAATAATGCTTCGAGCCTCGGGAAAGACCTTTGGCTCTTTGATGACTCTCCATGTTTGTTCGCTCTTGAAGATGTCATCCAGATCTCAAGTCACCAGCTGTCCATTTTCATCCTGTCACCGGGTCCAGTGCTTCGCTTATCCTGCGCCAGGTGGAAACTTCTCGCGAGTTGCGGAGGCTGCAGGAGATGCCCGGAGCCCATTAAGGGCTCATGACCCATGGACGTGGCCAGCAGATGTCGATGTTTCCGGAGCCGTGCCAAGGTCGAGCCGCAGGACGGATGACTGGTGGATTCAATCGGGGATTGCGGGAAAAGAAACCAGAGAGACAGGCTAAGGATTGGGTCAGATCTTTGTTTTCATTCTCTATACTGACATATACTGACAACTTCCAGGGCTTTTACTTGATGATTTTGACGGAGATACGTAGGACGTCAAAATCCTTTCTCGCTAAATCCATGACTGCGATCAGTTTAAGCTCTGCCAGGCAGGGATTGTCCTGCCCTCAGGATCCCTCGAGGGTGTCATGTGTCGCCATGCTATGCTCAGGGTCCAGGTATCACATCCGCTGTTCCAAGGCTGACGCGGTTCTTTCAGGCGAAATGGGTGGTAGTTCCAGAGGGGGTGGCTGATGGTTGTGACAGAACAATTTGGGTGCTACAGACATGGGAAAAGAAGCTGATGGCTCTGGAAGTCTGGAAGAGTTCCATTTGTTTGTCAGCTGATTTTGGAGCAGAATCAAGGTATCAAGTTACTTTGTTGCTTCTGGCGAGAGGCAGATTCCAGAGAGCCCACGGTGGACATGGAAAGCATTCAGAGTGACTTTGGACATGGACTGCTCCGGCATTGGGGACTCTGAGTGCACCAGTGTGCAATTTTGTTAATAATCAAGAAGACGAAAGTTTGAAGAATGATGAAGAGTGATTTTAGATGATTTTAGAGGGGTCAGTTTTGTGGGATTCCAGGAGGGTTTCCCAACGCGCTATGCATATCAGCAGCCCATGAGGAGCTCAAGCGCCTCGGAGCAAGGTGGAGATGGAAATCAAGCAGAAGTCAGAGCTGAGAGCCACCTCGGAGGTCTGGGAAGCTGTGCAGATCTGCGATGCCAAAACATACATCGATATGTCAATGCATGTCAATACAGGTACCTGGGGCGTCAGGGGCAGGCTTTTCATCAGTTAACTATGTTCACTATTTATTTGAAAGGCCTTGGTGAAACAGCATATAGCCATATATAGCCATATATAGCCATATATAGCCATATATAGCCATATATAGCCATCGTGATGTTATAGTTGAAATGCCATGGAGTTGGGACATGTTGGGGCCATTCCCCATCGCCTCTCTTTGCCAGGAGATGTACATGGTCAGAAGCTGAGGACCCACGAACCTGACTGAACCCAGTTGATCCAGTTCCAAGTTGGAGACCGTTTAGGTAAACCGGTACCCTCTGGTAAACTAACATAACTATGGAAAATCACCATTTTCAATGGGAAAATCCACTATAAATGGTGATTTTCCATAGTTATGTTAGTTTACCAGAGGGTAAACCATGGTAAACCTATTCAGTCACCTCCAGTGAAAAGAAAAGGATGAAAATGGCTGAAGAACCATGCTGTACGTTGCTGTACGGCCCTAAGGCCATGACGTTGCTGCTGAAATCGATTTTGAAAGGACACGTTGAGCCGCTTGGCTGAAACTGCACCTTGCAGATGAGTCACTCGACTGACTTGGCATCTCAAGCTAGTGCTTAAACCTCGTCTTGCCACAGCCAAACATCTTCATGCTTGCAGTGGTACATGGCTGCACAAGTTTTTGAAAGACTTCAATCCCCGAACAAATGGCCATATGAGATGCAAGGCGGTACAGCACAGTGTTGGAGTTGGCCATATCAGTGTGAGCGGCTTCCCTTCATATGTTTGATAAAATGATCATCCAACACGTGCCGCCGCAGTCTCTACGATCTGCGGAAGAAACACCGCTTCCAGAGCCTCTTGGTGCCCAACCAGCTGCATCGCCAGGTCTTAAATGGCTTCCAGCGACAGTTTCAATGGTCATTCCATGAATTCCGTGGAATCCAACTGCCAATGATCCAGCGCTCAGGAACTGCCGCACAGGGTGAATCCGAGCAGACCATTCAGGAGACTGTCCTGGGCACTGGGGACCATGTTTAAGTCAGAGATTTTGCTGCAATGAATGTCTTTGAAATTTTAGTGATGGATGTAAAGTTCAAACCACAGATTAGGCTCAAACCATTTGATACCCAAACTTATTTTTGAATTGGATTGAACCGTTGTCATTCGTGGAAGATTCGAATGCGCCAGAAGAGTTTCTCTGCTTCTCAGATGATTTCCTTGTTCTCAACCCTGGTTTTGGTAAGCGCCGTGTTTGCGCAACCCGAGCATTTGGACAAGCTGTACTTGTTGCAAAAGCCTTCCGAGCAGAAAGTGGAACTACTTGGAGTAGGGTCACGAGCACCCCAACAGCTCTGCTCAGAACGTGAGTGTGCTGCATTCAGTTCCGTGGCTTTTACACAGGTTGGCACGGCCGGCGGATTCCTGCCCGGATTTCTCGAAGAGTGCAATTCATGATGTTTGGAAGCGAATTCATGCGAATTCACCCCGATTCGAAACATCTTTCAATGGGGGTACAATGCCGAGATTTGGGGTTTGCGACTGCTGTGCCACCACTTCCACCGTGGCGAGCACGCCTCGTTTCTCTGTATTTTTGGCGGGAACAAAACCAGCACAACCAGCACGACCAGCGCCACGACCAGTGCTGGGGCCAATGTGGACGGAGATCCGCACATCGAAACCTTGGATGGAAACCGCTACACATTGCTGAACCAGGGCAGCCAGGGCACTTTCTCCCTGTGGCACTACTCAGATCTACTCAGGTCACCAAGCCTTTACGAAAGGCTTGCTTCTTGTGACATTGTGGGCAAATCCGGTGGGTCACATCAAGTGTTGGAAATCACTTCACGTGATTGTGAGTGGAGAGTTCAGAAAGGAAACGGTTCAGAGTGGATTGCAGCCCAAAATGAAGAAGTGGTTTCAGTTCCTGATGGGATGAAATTATGTGACTGGTTTCATTGTCAAAAGGCAGAATGGACCGAAGGGTCACAACAACGTGCGGCTCAACATGCAGACCAAAGATTGCAGGAGAGACATCGCTGTGCTGAGCCTCACGCTCAGCACAGCTGAGGCTCAGTACAGCATTGTCTCTCCTGCAATCTTTCATGTAGGCCCAAGCGTCACATCAATCTCCAGATGGTGATGAAACGAAAGGACGACTGCCAGTTCGTCGATGGCGAGTTGAAGGTGGCCCGAAAACATCTCTCCCTACTGGGAGCAAGAAAACTTGGAGGGATCTGGGAGGCAGTGCTGAAGCGGCTTCGTATTTCCAGGCAGTGGATGAGGCGCCGAAGATTTCTATGCTTCAGGTGTCAAGTTCCGAAGCCAGCACAGAAGCCATCCCAGAAGCCATCCCAGCTTCATTTGTGGCTAGCTGCAGCAAGGCAGAAGAGAGTCAAGCGAAAGAGACGTGTTCCAAGCAAACGAAAACCTAGACGATGCTGCATTCTTCGATGACTGCGTCTTCGACGTCTGCCATGGAGCAGGAGAGTCAGCTGCAGAAATTACCGCTGAGCTTCTTGCATCTAACCAAGCTATTTTGAGCCATGGGTAGCTGACATTTAGCTGACAATGTATAGTATATGTGATATACTATTGCTTGACATCCCGGGGTGAGAACACCATCAGGATTGGGACTATGTACAGTCATGGATGTCACCAATGGTTTGTTGGTGCTAATCCGCACCTCGGGCAAGGCACCAAAACCTGCAGTCGGCCAGGGAGGTAGAACTCTTGGCAGTCCGTCTGAACTGCATTGGGGAAGCGGAGACGACTTTGCAGCTTTAACATGCTTTAACTAGTAAACTTTGCACATTGTCACAGGACATCCTTGAGGACTGGGGTGGGGTTGGGAGCGAAGTGAAGCAGGTGTAGACCTTGAAGATGACCTTGAGCGAACGTAGATGATTTTTGTCTTTAAAATTGATTGCAAAAAGATTGAATTGTAAATGCAGTATCGAACTCCAACTTGGGATACACAGCAGCTGAGTTGACCTTCCGTGCAACAAGGAGGTCTCCACAAAGCAGGGAGAGTTTGAGGAGACTGCAGGGTCAAGTGGTTTGGAAGCAGAACATGCAGAGAAATATGATGTAATGTAATGTATCATTGATTCATGCAATATAATATATATGTTATAATATATATATAATATAATATATATATATACATATAATAATATATATATATAATATAATATATATATATATACACTATATTTTATACATTATATATATATATACTAATATTGAATTTCACGAGGTCTTGGGGTTTTGGGATTTTTACGGTATATTGGGTTTCAAAGTCAAAATGCATCATTTCGAGCAACCTGGGAGCAGAAGGGTCGTGAGGAAAAGTGTTGAATGTTGTGATTTTTGTTGAATCAGTGGTCCACAGGTCCAACTGGCGTTCCAGAGAAACTGAAACAGTCGGAAACAGTCGGAAACAGTCGGAAACAGTCGGAAACAGTCGGGAGCGGCCCGGCGTTCGTGCCAAAATTGTCAATCCGCCATTTTTTTGCAAAAAAAAACGTTCCGCGCAATCCCCTTTTTTTTTTGAAAGTGCAACGGGAAACAGTTGGAAACAGTTGGGGCTCGTACCTTTGACTCGGCAAAAAACGAGCTATTTAAAACCAGTTTATAAAGAAAATGAACCTTAAATGGTTTTAAATAGCTCGTTTTTTGCCGAGTCAAAGGTACGAGCCCCAACTGTTTCCAACTGTTTCCCGTTGCACTTTCAAAAAAAATGGGGATTGCGCGGAACGTTTTTTTTTGCAAAAAAATGGCGGATTGACAATTTTGGCACGATCACGCCGGGCCGCTCCCGACTGTTTCCGACTGTTTCCGACTGTTTCCGACGGTTTCCGACTGTTTCCGACTGTTTCCGACTGTTTCAGTTTCTCTGGAACGCCAGTTGGACCTGTGGACCACTGATTCAACAAAAATCACAACATTCAACACTTTTCCTCACGACCCTTCTGCTCGCAGGTTGCTCGAAATGATGCATTTTGACTTTGAAACCCAATATACCGTAAAAATCCCAAAACCCCAAGACCTCGTGAAATTTAACATATACTAATTCACTTTTTCTGCGGGCAAGTATACCCACAGGGGCATTTTCGGACGGGACGTTCAAGGTTGATGTTCGGGCCAGGATTCTTGTAGGGAAGGCTCAGGGATGCGAAGATTATCACATGTCACGTGGTGGAAGAAGCGGTGCCGGATTAGATGGACGGCTTTCCGTTCTAAAAGAGGGGTGCGGTAAGCGGGCTGGATCAGTTTCAGAACGGGATCACAACCGCAATGGGATTGGACCGGGATCGGAAGCGGATCGGAACCAGATCGGAACCGCATCGGAACCGGATGGGAACCGGATCGGGAACGTGTTGCTTCATAGATGGCCCTCTAAAATGCTTAAGCGTCGATATATATATATAGGGGCTGGAGCGACACCGGGCATAGGCGCTTATAAGCATTATAGAGGGCCATTTGCGAAGCAAAACTTTCCCGATCCGGTTCCGATCCGGTTCCAATCCGGTTCCAATCCGGGTTGCAGGTCTGGTTCCGGTCTGGTTCCAGTCCGGTTTATGTCGGACGCCTGACAAGGGGCATGCTGAGCACTATCTAGTCATTACCGATCGCACCACCCGCAAGCCGCTTATAGCCGCGACCAAATCCCACCGCAGATTGAGCACCACCGGGTGCACCGCTACATTACATAGGCCCCCCCTCCTGCCCAGCAAACAAGGGGTATGTTAAGCATAATAGGGTTTATCAACATATATATATATATACACATGATATATATATATATACACATGATATATATATATACACATGATATATATATATATACTTATTTATATTTACATGCCATACATTAATTATATGTTAAGAGTCTAGAGGCTCTAAGCATACGACTTGATATGACTGATATCACACTTGCACACTTGCGCCGTGGTAAATCTGGTCGCGTGGGCAGGGAGATTGAGATATCCTTGACGGAACAGATTCTGGATATGGATTATACACTATTATTTTCTTTATCTAGTACCAGGGCCAGTCCCGAACCTTCTCTATCGTGAATTTTGAGCGAAGAGATTGCAACCAGCATTTTGAGCAGGTAACATTGTGGACAGGGGAATGTGTTGTGAAACTGAATCCTCATCCCTGGGTTCAATTTCATGGGAAACGAACAAAAACACAATGCAATTGTGAAAGATCGATTCTGGCGCGCAATGTCCTGGACACTGTGAGATACTGTGATTCAAAGCCCGAAAACTGGAATCTCTCCATGCAGGAAGAGGACTTAAGCCAAGAGGCCCTAGTGGGGCTGTCGGCTTTTGGTCATGTGGGAATGCTTTGGGTCCCAGGGTTCAAGGCATTGATGATGTTGGTGGGTGTGGCCTCAAGCCATCGGCCCTGTGCGCAGAATGATGAACAGATTTTTTTCAATGGTTCTGTGACTTTACAGAACGTGCACAATGATTGAAATTAAAACCCACCCATACCAAAAGGTAGGTACACAATCCTTTGCCGCCAGCATGTAACGTGTGAGGGCTCCGACATCTTTGAAGTTCCCGAACCGACAGTGGCAGCAGAAGAGACTGAAAGGTACGATGACATCCTGGGGATTTGGTGTCCAAGTAAGGCCTTGCCATGCCTTTTTTTTTTGGTTCAGTTGCAAGTGACCCGTTCATGTGCAACAATGACCAGACACCTAGTAAAAAACTTTCTGCCATCCTCATCACGAGACACCAGCTCTCCTCTTTAGGCCGTTGATTTGGGTATGTCTCAAAAATTGGTGTCGGAATCCCACTTCCAGTGTTTCATGGGGAGTCTGGTTCGGAATAAGTTGACCTCAGATGCCTCAGATGAGTTCTTGCGCAGGTTCTGCCCAGGATTCAGCCTGTTCAAAATAGCCTTAAAACATCAAAACACCTTGGTTCTGCAGGACAAACTTCAACTGTTTGATGGAAAGCCTCCATCTCGCCAGGCCTGTGCCAGCTCTTCTGAAAATCAGGAGACCATGGAGACCCACCCGTTCCCATTGTTTTGGTCCAGGATATTGCACCCCATGTCAACTTGTCTCCTCAGGACTGAAGTGCCGCGGCCTGACGACCACCCCAATGCTGCGCTGGCCCGGACACTAGGCCAGATGTTGTGTCAAATGCTGGTAGGGTTGGGTTCACCCAGCCAGTCAACAAGACATCCGCCGGGTCAAGAAATGATGCACCTGGGATGTTTGAATTTGAAGCCTCCTTAATGAATATATGGTTTGTCTGAAATACCCCGAAATCCACTGGTTAATCATCATTTTCCATCATTTTCCCATTAACATAGCTATTTTGGGGGGATACTTCCTTTTTTGGACCCACTCATATGACATCATGATGGACATTGATGGTTGATGTGCTTTCCTGGGTCCTGGAGCAATCGATGTGCCAGGCATTCGACACGTCAGCAACGTGCAAGACAATCTGTCAGCAATGCAAGATTTGCACGACCAGAAGTATCATGAGATTATGGCAGGGATCCCAAGTCGGGATGTGGTCCAACGGTTTGGAATGACTCGTCAAGCTCTTGGCAGATGATTACAGTGTTGCCCGGCCTCCCCTTTTTAAATCTTTTTAACACCTCAACAAATTTCAAGAAGCCTTCCTTACACCAAGCGTGAGATTGCCACCACTTCATGCAATAATTTCTTCTTTGGAAGATAGGTATAGCAGAATCATGCAGAATCTATTGTGCAAATGAGGGTAATGTTTTGATTCTGTGGTGCGCAGCACAAGTCGCAGAGTCATTGCAGTGATGGTGGGTCGAAATTATTGGCATTCAGACCGAGCCTTTCAATACAAACATTTACCAGATGTGTGCGTCCATTGGAAGCTCAACTTCGCCTCATCTCCGAATGAAGGGAGAACATCTGAGATGGAAACTTTGGAGGAACTTGGTTCAATCATGTTAAATCAATTTTCATCATCAAAGTCAATGGTTTCACCAGATCTCCCCCATATTTTCACGACATTTTTCAACCTCTGCCAGCCATTCTAAAAACCTGCCCCCTGCCGCAGGAACTGAGAGCCGAGATCCAGGAGATCCACCGGAGCCTGGCGGAAGCGGAGGCCAAGTATGCGCAGATGGAACGGGAAAACACCAACGCACCGGATGTGACTTGGTCGAAATCCGCGTGGGGCATACTGGGGCAGGGGATGGCTTTTTGGGGTTGGCTGGGCGAAATCTGGGCATGAAAAACTGAAAAACCACCGGGATTTTGGGGTGCCAAATTCATGGAAATTCATTTCGACAAGCTACGCTGTCAAGGCTGAGGCATCTGCTCCGCCTACAGGTGCCCTGGGATGATTACAATCGACTTTGATATATTGTTTTGCTTAAAACCGCAAGCTACAACAAACATTTTCAGGATCTGAACCTACAAAGTCAACTCATGGTTTTTGAGAACAACTTTGCAGCTGTTCGCAGCCCTGGAGAACTGGTTTTGGCCATTGAGCCATTTCGGAAGGTCCCAAAATCCGATTAAAATCCAACATTTTTGACGCCCACCTGGCAGGGCCTACCGGCAAGGCGTGCGTGTGGCTGTGCGATGAAAGAATGGGGTAGCCATGGATGCCATGGACCCACAGAATTGGGTTCCTTTTGGATCCTTTTGGTATAACCGGTATAACATGGTATCGGTATAACGGTGTGACCCTCCAACTTTGAAGCCAACAAATTTGATCCATGCCCCCAACTTGCAGACTTACACAAAGCTTCATGATGCTTTACGACTTCGACATATTCGTTGGTCCTGGTGCTCTTCAAGTTCCATTCCAACCCTGGATACTCAGCCCACAAAGATCGACCAGGCCGCCGCTACATTGAGTTCTCCGCGGACGCCTAGACACCCGATGAATTTTGGCGGGAACATGACGTCCGACTATGTCAATGACGGTGAGAGGAAGGCGATGTCCAAGTATCCCGTCGACAAGTGGACTAGGCAGGGAGACAGATCTGAAGTGGACGTAGAATTTCTTTCCGCAGGATTTTTCATGGGATCAACTAACTATGCATTAACATGCATTAACTATTGAGATGTGGGAAGCAAAATCAGGATGATGTACCATGACCTGGAGAGGGACTTGACTAGCCCCCTTCTTTCACCAGCCTTTTGAAGAGAAGATTCCTCAGCTGCTGCAGTACCAAACGAGCTGCTGTGGCAAAGAAGAGGCAGCAGCGTCAACAGGCTTGGGGGGAGCATCCCGCGTGAAAGCAACCAGGTGTCCCCTTTGGCAATAACACATTGCAATTAAACATCGGCCATTTGAATTTCTATTGTCATGGAATTAGCAAATGAAAAATTGGCCACTCCTGCAGTTTGGAGGGCCCGTGTCGGCTCATGACACTGGCCCCCCATGCTTTCAGGCAGCCTCCACTGTACCTTTGGCGCCCAACCTGAAGGCCTGGTGAAGTTATCCCAGTTGGTAGAGTTGGAAACCATCTCTTGCAGCATCTTGCAGCCCTCTACGGAAATTAAGATCCGAATATATCCGAAGATGTATCAGTGACATTCAGTGACAAGCTGGAGGTTGTCGTCTTGCCCAGGACTCCACCATTGCTGTTGATGAGAACAGCTTTTGGACCAAGACGACAACTTGACCGTGCGCAGCAGATCTCAGCATGCAGACTTTTTTAGATCCATGTAGCTGCCCAAGATGGGCGGCTTCCACTGTGAGCTGTGAAGTCTTGCAAACCTTCAGCGATTGTGCCATCTTTTCTGCATCTGAGTTGAGTTGTTATCCATCAGAATCTATCAATTCACTACACAGCATTATGGTCCGTTTGTACATGTCTACAAAAGCCATGGCTGGCGGAATCTGGCGGAAATGGTTTCGGTTCAAGAGATGATACGCTAGTAGCCCATACAAGCGCTTGTACTGGGTATCCATCTATATTCAGCATACTGAAAGCATCCGAAACCAAACGGTGCAGGGCCATCAGACAGGCTGTGACTTGGTAGGATGGCGTCAGATGGCGAATCGAATCTTTCTTCCAAGGCTTCCCAGGTTGCAACAGACTCAGTTTCACAATTGATTTAGATACTACACGCCTCCTTCGAATGAGGTGTTTCGACCTTTCCCCAAGCATTGACCGATTTGAACTCTAACAGTTCAGCAGCGAGGTGCCCATCTCAATTCCTGGCTTCTTGGGGTGTACATAGTGGAAGGAGCTGGTAGTTGCAACGGGTTTCACAACACGCTCAAAGTGGCGATTCTCTTTGTTTTCAAGAGAAATCGATGATGTATTGGGACATATTGGGACATATTGGGACATATTGGGGCGTTGGAAGCGAAGGGAGTGCTTTGATAAAGCTCAACTAGAAATCGGTGAATCTGATCTCCTGGCGAGGCTTTACTCCCCTTTCCTGACCTTTCCCCCTGGCCAAGTTGAAATTGCTTACTTTCGGGGACTCCAGCTCGCGTGCGTGTTTTTTTTGGCTCATAGCCGGTCAGAATCAACCGGTTCAACACCAACATGTGGACCACGTGGACATTAATTTTGGTCGGTACCTGAGGCCTCAGGTGCCAACCGGTTAGATTTCCAGTTCCCAGCTGCCGAGATGATCATTTTTGCCGAGGTCCTAGATGCCGTCGCTGCACTGGTGGCAAACTCAGGGGCGATCGCAGTGGAGCTCGACTTTGGCATCCTCTACTCAGTGGAAAGCCGTAGGTGCCCTCGATTCCTGAGGTGACAGTCCCCTTGCAGGGCTGCACCATTTCCACTGTGAATGAGGACTCGAAGCAGATGAATGGTTTTGGAGACTGCATTTGCAGGTGTCAAGACCAGCTGTGACCAGGATCATGTCCTGCTGAAGTCTCCAGTTTTCTATGGGGAGGCCGGACCTCTGAAGGCATTGGCGAGATTGGAGGGATGAAGGTTCCAACGTGTTTCAAATGTTTCAAAGTTGAGGGATCATGGATGATTTCTAGATTATAGATGATTTTGAATGATCCTTTAGTTCTTGGCTGCAAAAACATTGGAACTTAAGAGGAAACCAACGCTGCAGGATGTTGCTTTCACTAAGTCACTAAGTGCTGCCCAGCTGGGAAAGCGATCCTAATCACGAAGTTGGTGGCAACTTCTACTTCCAGGTTTGGAATTGAGAATCATTCTCTCCTCAAAACATCTCAGCACCAAACTCCCAACAGAAGGCTTGGGCAAATTTGGATTCACCTCACAGGTCAGTGTGGGTGAGCAGCTGGCGAGCTTCCAACTCTTGTTCGACACAGGCAGCTCCGATTGTGGTAAGATGTAGTAAACCTATCCAGATCATTTCAGAGCTGCACATGGACAAAGTCCTCATCGGCCCGGGTCCGTTTCCGGGTCGTAAAGGGAAGATGTCCCACATGCATCCACTGGACCATTGCAGTTGCGAGGCTCGAGCAGGCTGTGGCTACCGAGCTCCTTTTGCAGCCAATCGGATGCATGGATAGTGCGAAAATGCTGAACCCCGATGAGAGCAGGTTATTGAGACCTCAATTTGAGACCACCCCCTATGTCCCGAAAAAGAAACCATCCTTCGCCAAGAGCTATGTCTACCGGTTCCCTTGAAGAGGCATGAGAGCTCTCTCTTAAAGAGGCGCCAGAGGTGTTTCCGTGAAAGACTGCTGACATCCAGAAGTTGAGAAAAATACCCAAACGATAGGATATTTACGCCTACAGGTCCAGTTTTCTCCATGTTGCTTGGTTCATCATCCATGTTCCTTTTGCTCAACTCATTGAGTTTATACATGTAAAGAAAACACTCAGGACGCCAGTATTTTTGATATCGATGTTATTTTTTTCCTGTGGGTGAAGAGAGGGTACCCCCTAAAAATCCCATGGTTCATCATGGTTTATCAACATTACCCTCTGGTAAACTAACATAACTATGGAAAATCACCACTATAAATGGCCATTTTCAATAGCTATGTTAAATTACCAGAGGGTACTCAATGGCAATTTATCTGCAACTGTATACCCCGCAACGCCCATCCGGCCGGCTCCCGGCTCGCAGCTTTGAGGCGATGCTGCTTGCGAGTTCCACAAGCGCTACACTCCATCCAGGCGCCGGGAAAGTCATGGAACCTGGGCATTGAACCTTCAAAACCCTAAATCCAGCAAGTTTTTCACCATGCGAACGAGGACAACTATGGAAAATTGATGAACATTGCATTATTATCCCAGGGCACGATGCGACCCATTGAAGATTTTGTATAGGATTCCCTGGAATCAGATGATGCTCTCGTATGCTCTGCAGCTTTGAAGGAGTCTTCAAAGAAGCACACGGCTTTCATTCCTTTTTGAATTGGGACTCAAAGTCCACGATTCCAATCCATCTTCAACCAATTTTAACCAAATATGTAATTTTCCAGTGCACACTGATGTTGGCACATCAGGTCAACTATTGGAGTGTGCAAGACTGTGACTGTTTATGAAACGTTCATGGGTATTTCATTGGACATCCAAAGACATCTTTGCCCAGCCGAGCTGCCAGTCTGCCTCTGGAAGACACTGTGAATGGCGAGGCTGGGCAATGGCTTTATCGATGCGGCAAGTTGCCAACTGGAAGATTTTAGGATATTTGATGCAATTCGGTAATAGTTTGAATATGATGAATATGCTTGATAACAATCTGACAATGATTTTATAGACATAGATAATATTGGAGATACTATATTACATGTCACACATTTTACTATGTTACTATATAATGATTGTATGTCTAAGTTGTGTATATGTAAAATAAATGTATTCAACATATAAAAAATAATATTGAACAAAACCCATAATAATGAACATATAATATATAATATTGAACACATAATATATAATATTGCACATAAAATATAAAATATTGAACATATAATATATAATATTGAACATATATATATATAATATAATATTGAACATATAATATAATATAATATAGAATATAATATATAATATAATATATATAATATATATATAGTATCATATATAAAATACATAATATATGTAATATATATATATACTTTCTAAAATAAACAAATGCAAATATTATATATCATAATATATATATATAATATAATATACATTATATAATATACACTAAATAATTTAGATACTATATAATATTTTAAAAACATATATAGTAGAAAATCAATTGCAATAATATAATACAATATAATATAAAATAAGATAATTTAATATGATAAAATATAATATGATATGATATAATATATAATATAATATAATATAAAATAATGCTATATATATATACAATATATAATATATATATAATACATTTAATATATACATATAATATTATATATATAGATTAATAATGATAATAATAAGAATGATAATGATAATAATAATGATGATAATGGTAATGACAGTAATAGTAATATTTTTTCATTAAAAAATATCATATTAACAATAATGATAATATTACTATTAATAATATTAATAATAATTATTAATAGTAATAACCATAGTAATAGTAATAGTAATAGTAATGGTAATAGTAATAGTAATAGCAATAATCATAGTAATAGTAATACTAATAAATAAATAAATTAATATATATATATATATATGAATGAGCATTATCCATTGTCAAATTGCGGAAGTTTCAATTCCAATCACTTGCTGCCAGCGCGCCTACTTCGCCTCCGGTGTTCTCATGGGATTCGAGGTGAACGAGAGCATGTGTCTTGGAGGCGCCGCTCGGTATCCGGTGATCAAACACGGTTCGCTGGGAAATCCCCCAATGAATGGCTATAAAAATGGGAACATCATCGAAGTAAATGGCTAATCATTGGCTATGTGAAGAAAACATCATCGATGCATTGCTATTTAAATGGGAACATCATCGAACCAAGTGTTGTTTTTCCAGCAAGCCATGTTTGGTTACCAGAGGGTAACGTGGTGAGAAACCATGGGATGGAACAGGGAGGCCCAAGATTTTAGACAACCCACCGTGGGTGAATGTTGAGGTATTGTTGAACATATATTAGTATGTGGCAATGTATATGGGACCATCGTTTTGGGGAGATGAACATTGTTTTGCCTGCTACTTTCTTCCAGAAACCAGGGTACCTTGGTTTTCGCCCACACTCATATATGAATAAGATTGAATAAGAGCATGTTGATACTGCTGAATGATGACTTTTAAAATGTAAGCAATGTGGCTGCCCTGGGCAAGTGGAATGACACGAGTTTCTGCATTCCCCATCTCCAAGACCTCCAGGCTCTTGTGCCAGAACGAAGATCATGGCAGCATTGGAGGCCACGAAAATCACAAACAATGGTTATTAACCATTATTCACCAATATTCACCATTAATATTCTTAGTTATTATTAACTATTGTTAACCATTATTCACCATTTTTGGATATTTTGGGGTAGACTGTGGATGACTATGGTAGACTGCTGAGATAGATGGACTTAGATGGACTCAAACTCAGAGCGATATGGGTATGCTGTGGCAATCTGTGGCAGAAGCTGTTTCTTACCCAGCTGCTTTTAGTCGTACCATGTCATACCTTTTTCAGGAGTCCGACTATCCCTTTGTTGACATGCCATTCGATGGCATTTTGGGTGCACCTGGCATGTTGCAAGCGGTTTTATTGAGCACGGTGACCTTGCTGGTTGCTCCAAGGTCATGTTAGTCCAAGTTCCACAGGAGCCAAGGCAGCCAAGGCAGCCAAGGCAAGTAAAAATGTGGAATCTGCATCATCCGCAGCTGCTAACTTTAAAACCGGACGCACGCAGTTTTTGAAAGGTCAACCCTTATAGCTCAGATAAAGTACGTGGCTTGAATTACATGAGGTTGCACATCACATGATAGCAGCATATTAAGTAGTCAACCACGGTTGCACGGACAAAGCTAGTTTGATTGAGGTGGTTCTTGACTGAGCACGGCAGCCTCGAGAATTGATGTGACACGAGAGTCGAAAGGAGATCACCTAAAGATCACATATCAATTCCGAAGATTCCAAATCCATATCAGTTATCCAAAGGGGTGCAACACCTGACATTCTCGCCATGGCTGGGCGCAAAGCCGCCCTGGCTCTACCGGCCCCAAAGAACAAGGAAGAGTTGCTGAGACATGTGACTGGGCCGGCCTGAAGGTGGTAGGAGGAACAGTGATCTCCTGACACACCGGAATTCTATGAGTTTGGGTCACATCACCCTACGTCACCCTACGTCACCCTACGTCACCCTACGTCACCCTACGTCACCCTACGTCCCTAAGTGATGATTTCCTCATGGAGGTGGTGGGTCCGCAAGTGTTGTCACATGCTTCGATGGCTCCACGCCAAGGTCAACATCATTTCCGCCGTCGATGTGACCTCTCTGGCATCCAGAGGCCGACGAAGAGTTGCCCCATCTTTCTGTGACCTATCATTTTTTTTGCCTTCCAAATGCGACTATATTGAAAATCCTTGTCTTCTTATGTATTTGAATGCATGCTTCATGACACCTGATCATACGACATCCACAGCAACGGATGCCTTCAATCTGGAATCAGGTGTGGATCAGTTGCTGCTGCGGCAACGCGGCGAGGAGCTGCAAAGGATTTGCGATGAGATCTTGGCCCAGAGGCCCAGTGCTATCAACGGCCAACCAAGCCACAAGAGCCAAAAGGGCCACAGAGGCCAAAGGAATGGCTCTGCGCAGAAAGAATCTGGATGGCTGTTGGCCTGCTTGTTGCTTGCCAGATGCAGAACTTGTGGGTGGCTCGGGGGGTTGATTCATCGTACTCCAAGGTCAGGACAAATCTTTGGCCAAAATAGGTCCAATCCAAGGTGCAGCTATTGTTTATCTTGTAGGTTTGGAAGTGGAGTTTCCCATGCGAGGGTTGTTCTGAGGTTTGTTGTTGGGCTGACCCTACCCTACTATGTCTCTCGGCTTGTGCTGTGGAGGGCTTGACTCTTTTCTTGCCTTCAAGATCTTCTTGAAGAAAGTTCCGTTGGATTAGTGACAGCCCACCGCCCAGACCTCTGCGATGCTGTGGTCGCACCAGGTTTGTGTGAGCTATCGCAGCTGGTTCGTGGATGAAGGTTTTGCTATCTATCGAAATCCTGATGCCAAGGGGGAGACAGCTCTCATGCAGGCGCCCACAGGGGTTGGTTAAGGTTGGGATGTCATATAGCTGGACTTCAGAAGTTCAAGTTTGAACGAAGAGAGATCTCCAATGATGCTGGGGTCTTGATAGGTTTGGCGAGTGAGCAGAGGCAGACATCGTCAGGGACCCCGTTTCTGCTGCCACCAGGTCTTGAGAAACGACTTCTGGGGAACTTCCTTGAATCCTCCTGAGGGCTCCTGGGCCAGTTGCTTCAGACATCAGGGTGTGAGCCTTTCGATTGTTCCAGCGTTCCAAAATGTCATCAGTCTCCAGTTCCCAGTTGTGTTGAGCTTGCCATAGGGGCAGCACCAAGAAGCAGATGCTTGTTTATTCTTTGCTCTACCGGCCTTCAACAGGTGATGGGGGAAGGCTCCAGCACTTTCTGAGCCAAGGCTATATTACACACAAATCCTGGCGTCCGCTCATTACTTTGATGTATGCTGCAGAGTGGCTGCTATGTGCGCGTTATGGCTTTCAAGGGATGGAGATGCAACCCATGAGATTCATCAGTTGCGTGGTGCACCTCTTCTGAATTTGTAAGTAGTTGCTGAGCTAGACTTCATCCCTTCCCCAACATCAGATAGACTTGGTTCTTTGGTTGTTGGGGCCGTATGCTCTTCATAATGGCATCACCATTGGTGGCATTGCCCTCAAAATCAATCTTTGCAGCATTCCACTCTTAGGGCAATTTCAGGTAGCATGCTCTTCCAGGTCCATGCTTGCTGTTTGCGTTTCTTGGAAGGGGCCTATTGCGATGGTCATTTGGAGACTAGATGATCTACTAAACCTGGAAAATGCCGAAATTTTAGATAGGTTTTCCCATCATTTCCCCATATTCTTACGTATGTCTTTAGATGAACATCCAAAGCCATTTGTCCAGCCAGGCATAGCCTAAACTCTGCCTTGGTTCTCTTGGCTTTGCGCTTGGCTTCCCTACCTTTGGGCTGGTCGTGCCACTGGGACTTGCAGCTGCGGATGTTCAGATTTCATAGTGTGGCTATGCGTGGTTTGTTATGAAGGACATCTTTCAATTCCCCTGGTATCACCCAACATGGGGTTATTTTCTGGTCAATACTACAAACATCCATTTTGTAGGATCAAAATGCCCCAGTTCCCAGCTAGTTTTCTTGCCAGGTCATACCTGCGATGTTGGCTGGTCCATTGATCCTTGCTGATCCCCCACTCACATCGCTAGGTCTGGGAGCTTCAATGTTTGCAGCTCATCCCATCCATATCGAGCCTTGGCAACGATCCCAAGCTGTTGCATGTTGCTGGGGATGAAGGAAATCAAGGGAACCATGAAGAGACAATAAGATCAATAAGAGACACATAGACTATCGCATATAGACACAACATGACACAACATTTTCACAAGGTGATCCAGGTGCATACCAGGTGCAGGGTATATCGATCATGTCACAGCGGGATGGCCGGCGCAGTCCTGGCAGTCCTGGCAGTCCTGGCAGTCCTGGCAGGAAAATATCGTGTACCTGGTGGGTCGTGCGGATGCGTTGTCGACCACTTTCTACTTGCTGGCTTTGATAACTTATCAAGCCTTAGCCCTGAAACGGCAGACGGTGAGCATCAGATGCCACCTGGAATTTGCATGGTCTCCTCTTTGAAGTTTATTTCTTGATAGAAGGTGATGAGCTTGCCAGATAATGTTGAAGAATTATGTTTGTGGTTATGGTTGTGACTTTTTTCCTGTGCTTTTTTGCAGCTACGTCATGGTGCGTCCACCACGTCAGGCTATATCCTTCTTGCGACGTTGAATGTGCTGTCTGGCCTTTGCTCCTCAGACCGAGTGGGCTGAAAGAACTGGACCAAATTTGACCCATGATTTTCACCAAAGTAACTATAGTAACTCAAGTACCAGGGTAATCTCACAAGACATGTTCAAAAAAGCGGCACTTTGTTCATCTTTGTTCCAGATCATGTTCCATCATGTTCCATCATTGTTTGGACCCCTTGGGGATGAGTCGATATGAGTGACTGAAAATGTGTGACTCATCCCGAATAGTACATCACATCTCATATCACTGCTACCCCCTCATTTTTTTTGGGGAACATCCACAACAAGCCGCTAGTGGTTGTTGTTCGCAGCGTTTTGATTCTGAGGCAAAGAGCCTGGCTTCACAGCCCTCTTCTACATCTTCTGTGTTGAGACTTCGCTGCAATGGGACACGCTGCCGGAGAGACAGGGGCCAGGTTTGAATCTTGGAAAGGTGGGTGAAACGGTGAAACGGTGAAACGGTGAAACGATAATCATTAATAATGATCTTGAAGTATCTTGAAGTTACATATGTTACATGGGTTTTTGAATGTTTTTGGCCAAGATGATCTCAATCCATTCCAATCCACCAAGGAGTTGGCGTTTCGGTGCCGCTGGCGAGATGTCTCAATGCTGCTGGGTCTCTTTGTGGTGTTGGCAGCGTTGAGGACGTGGTATGTAGGTGGTGCCCTGGTGTGCAAATGGGGGAACACATGCTACTTGTAATACTGTAATACCTCAGTAACGTTTGTTTTGATGTGGACGATGATTAAACATGATTAGACCATAGAATCTTTTGGGTACCATAGTCTGACCATAGTTTTTAAAGATAAAACATGATAAAACCAAAATGGTAACTCCCTCTGGGTTTGTCAAATTGAATCCGTGCTTCGTGCCGATTAGCCAAATAAGTTGACCGAGGTACTGATGCTGGCTTTGGCTACGTGGACACACCAATCAAGTATCAGGATGCACGAACCTATGGAACTGAAGCAAAAGCGCTTCTGGTGCGCACGCTGTCCTACCTCTTTCAACACGAGTCTCAGCTTGAAATCTGCTTTGGACATTCTTGGGGACATTTTTGGACATGTTTGGACATCTTTGGATTATCAGATAGTTGCGGAGGGTTTGGCCTGCAAATCCATGATCCGTCGTTTTCAAGCCTCAATGCTTATTTGACTTACTTTTGCTTGTTGTGCAGCCCAAAGTGCAGTTTCAAACAACATTCCAATTTCCGCCGATTTCTGCACAGTCTTCTGAATGGGCGTTGTCGCTCTTCACTCATCATTCTGAGGCTTACTACGCGAAGATATTGGTGTTGCCGTGGAACCAATCCTGGGACTATTCCTTCGAGTCGCTTCCCATGCTGACCGTCTTGGAGGACAAGTCCAACTTCAGGGATTGTTAAAATATGTTAAAATCATGCGCACAGCTGACCTTGACACCTCACCTTTAAACTTAAAACATTTAAGACCTTGTTCAAGCCTTGTTCCAAGAGATTCCATGAGTGATCTAAGATCATTTAAGAGCAAGCCCAGCCGGACTCAGTTGTTCCTGAAACTTTGGAAAACCCAGCTTCAGGACCTTCGTTTGCAACTGATTTTGGCTGCCTACCTTGCCATCTCTGCCACTGCTACAGCTGCCTTGAGATTGAGAAGACAGGCTCCAGCTCTGCTACTGGGGCTGGGGCTGATTGTGGTTCCTCGGCTCCCAGGAATCACAGAACTTTGGGGCCATGTTTGGATTCTAAAATCATCTAAAATCATTGAGATCCCAAATCTCTTCCATCCGAGGTGCCCTTTGTACCAATGTCCAACCTCTTTTTCTTGGTTGGCACTACCATTGGCGAGCGGCTCCTATATCCTCTGACTGTGGGTTGGGCCTTGGTGCTGGCCGGCTTGGGCTTTCAAAGTCACGGAACCAGAATGGGTGGATGCCTCAAGTGGGCTTCAATCAGCCTACTGGCTCCCTAGCTTATTACAGCTCCTTTGTTCTACCGATTACAAACCGATTCAAATGCTCAATGTATGTTATGTTTTTTTCCCTTCCAAATACTGCTCCAAAGTATGAACGCGGAACCAGGGGCATGATCTTCTGATCTTCTATGATCGCCAGAAAGAGTGCTGGCTGAACCCCTGAGCTCAGGTGATCTACATCGTCAACTCCAACATTCGAATGTCCCACTGGAAATCCCCTGCAATTCTCTTCATGAAGGAGTTTAATGCAGTTTCATAGTGGCATTTTCTGGGTTTTCTTTCAAGTGGCCTTCAGCGTCCAATTTCCTCGCGCACCGCAGGATGCAGAGCATTGGCACAGAAGCGTCGCTGTCTCTGCAGCCGGTGTGGTGTGTCAGAGGATGTCAGAGGGACTTGGTCTTTTTTCTTAAATGATAATAACGATATAGAACAATGAATAAGGTATCATATACAGTATATTCATAGAACCATGCTTGTTCCCAGGAAAGAACGTGCTGGGCCATCGTCCAAGATAAGTTGAAAAGATCCAATTTCAAGATCATCCAAGTAGGTAGTACTCCATTCAATCATATTCAATTCCCTTGGGACTGTTCCAAACCCAACATAAATCCACGGTCACATTATTTTTGGCCACCAGCATCATCCGAGGTCAAAGTTTTACACGCCAAAGCCTCGGAATTGCAAGCCAAAGGCGATTTGGTGGAAGCATTGGAGCACTACCAGAGGCAACGTGATGCGATGTGGGGATTTGGGAGGGGATAGGCACGTGCCGCACGGCCTAAAGTCATCCTGGGAACAAAGGAAGCAGAAGGAAACTAAGGTGCTATCTGGATCGTTGTCGTACATGAATTCGCCTCTTCCTGTACTAAGTTTCATGAAACTTTCCACCTGAAGAATCAACCGATCAATCGAAACTTCACCGATCAACGTCAGGTCGTTGGATATTTTTGATGACCAAGCGATCACAGACTACTGCATCGCGCGGATCCTCATCAATTTGGGTCGCTTCCAGGAGGGGGAAAAAGCCCGTGGCTGTCTGGATGTAAGGCAATGTACCCTCTGGTAATTTAACATAGCTATTGAAAATGACCATTTATAGTGGATTTTCCAATTAAAAATGGTGATTTTCCATAGCTACGTTAGTTTACCAGAGGGTAAGGCATATGTCTAGACGGTCAACCGAAATGAAAGCCTTGTTCTTTACGATGACAACCATGCTTTGGATGATTAATTACAGTGGCATATTTTCCTCTGCAAAAAAGGCGTGTGAAGTGAAATCCATGTGATGACCATTGATGACCCAGGCCCCAATCCATACAACTTCAATCCCAGGAGGCGTACCAACGCTTCGATAAGATTCTCAACGGCCATGGCATCGGCCTGCACGATGGCAACGACTTCTTGTGGATGACCGACCTAGGCCAGGCATTTCTTTGGGCGCTTTTGTGGACTGCGGAATGCTGCGGAATGCTGCGGATTGAAGAGGTAACTCTGCAAGATATCAAAATATCCACAGAACTCGTATCAAAATATCCCAGAAAAACTCCAAATACGTGTGCTCTATATGACTATAGGTGCGACATTTTGCAGACAACAACGGTTTAGTTCGGTTTTGTTGGTTTAGTTCTGTATGTTGTGCCGGTTTTTCAAGAGACTCTCACCACGCAGCATGTCCTGCCCGCTGATCGGCCAGGTTATTTGATGGTGCGACTGGGATCTGATGCTTGGCTCAAGCGGCACTTGTCTTCTTGTCTTGACAAGTGGGCAACCTTCTGGAAAACACTGAGGATGCTCAGGGCGCAAACTACCTGCAGGAGGGTTTGAGGCTCGCATTCTCGTTTGCGATGATCTTTCAAAATTTGACTCTTCGTTTATCTACGTCTATCACCCAGTTGCCACCATTTGGCCCATTTGCTTGTACCAGTGCTGTGACGACCTGTGACAACAGCTTGTCTCAGCTACAGGCGTATGCCCTACAGCAGCTATGCCTGGAATGCCCTGGGTGTGGCCCAAGGACGTCAGGGCCAGTTGCGAGAAGCTTTGGAGTCGCTGAGCCAAGGTGACTTGGCATTCTCCGCTATGGGAAGATTGCCAATGGGTGAACTTTTGGGGTGCAGTCGCTACAGCCATGAGCACAACGGGATACCATGGCACTTGTATGCACTTGTAGCGACGTCCATCGCAAGTGAAACAGACTTTTCCGTACGAAGAGAGAACTTGAATTCCGGAAGTGGCGCTTCCCAGACTTGAATTCCACGCATGTTTGATTCCACTTCTATTTTTCCAGGCTTGCAAGTTGAACCAGAAAATCCCGTCATTTGGAGCAACATGGCAACGATCTATGCATTTGGGCAGGCCAGTGCCAGGGCAAGGGGTACAACTGGCAGAAAAAGCTTTGGACACACCAGGAACCAAAGATCACGGGATCACTTAAGGTTTCACTGAGGAGTATGGATATGGGAGCCGTCCAAAAACCCCAGAAAGGTTTTTAGTATACGATCTATTCTCGCATTTTTCCCATGGTCTAAAACCTGCATCGCGCAAGTTTCGCGCAAGGGCGGCCCAAGGTACGCGCAAGTACTATTGTTATCATTATTTCAAGTACTATTTTTAATTAACATTTTGATTACTACTAATACTACTACTACTACTACTACTACTAGTACTACTAGTACTACTAGTACTACTAGTACTACTAGTACTACTAGTACTACTAGTACTACTAGTACTACTAGTACTACTACTACTACTACTGTACTACTACTACTACTACTAGTACTACTACTACTACTACACTACTACTACTACTACTACCGCTACTACTACTACTACCACCACCACTACGACTACTACTACTACTACTACTAGTACTGCTACTACTACTACTACTACTAGTACTGCTACTAGCTACTACTACTACTACTACTACTACTGATACTACCGTATCTGATTTAGATCTTAAATATTAATATCTCGAGTTGATAAACATAGATAACCAGGGTGGTAAATAGGCCATCCAAAGAAAAAGGAGCAGATAGATAGATAGATAAATAGATAGATAGATAGATAGATAAAGCAGCCAACGCGGTCCGGAAGACATGCAGCAGCAGTCCGGAGATGGTGAGCAGGAAGGTGTTTCAGAGTGGTTTCAGACCTCTTTTGGGCTTGTTTTTTGGGTACCCCCAGCTTTGGGAGATGAAAAAAGAAAGAGAAAAGGTAGAGAAAGAGAGAGAGAGAGAGAGAGAGACAGAGAGAGGAAGAGGGAAAGAGAGAGAGAGAGATAGAGAGAGAGAGAGAGGAAGATGGAAGATGGAGACAAACAGAAGGCGAGAGAGAGAGAGAGAGAGACAGAGAGAGGAAGAGGGAGAGGAGAGAGAGAGCGTTGTAAATGGTGAGCAGCGGGGTGTTTCAGAGTGGTTTCAGACCTCTTTTTGTCCGTAGGCTACCTCAGCTTTGGAGAAAAAACAGGAAAGAACGGGAAAAGAAAGAAGAGAAGGGAGAAAGAGACAGAGAGAAAGAAGAAGTCTTGAGACGGTGAGCAGGAAGATGTGTCGAACTGGTTTCAGACCTCTTTTGGGGCCGGTTATGGGGCTACCTAGTTCTTAAGACATCCAAAAGAAGGGACTCAAAACAGATTGTACTTCCCTGAGCATCGAAAAGCCTCTAATTAAGGAATATACCTTAAATTTCAAAAAAACCTTTAAATTTTGATGAAATTTAAGGGTTAATCCTTTAATTAGAGGTTATAACCTCTAATTAAAGGGTTTTTTTGAAAAAAAAGCCTCTAATTAAGAAAAAAACCTTTAATTAAAGGTTTTTCAAATTAGAGGCTTTTTTTGTGAATAGATGGCTTATGGGAGTCTATCATTGTGTGGATGGTATGTGTGTGGAGATGCATGACCGGCTTAGGAATGCGATGGTAGGAAGCTGTCAACTCTCCAAGATTCCTATCTCTTTGTATGATGGCAGTGTTTCACGTATGACTGAATTTGACACAGGCAGGACATGGTGAGGCAAAGCATGAATCTCTCTCTGCTGCCAGGAGGATACCTGAAGGCAAGCTCCCGAAAAAAATCAAACGACTCCTAACAAAGAATGAAAAGCAGGAGCGCTGCAATCGCATTTTCCGATGCCGAGAGCAGTGGGGAGGTCGTGTCGGCAGCAAAACTTTTGGAGCAAATTTTCTCCGGCCACTTTGGGAGTGTCGGTGCCGCCACGCGACCGCATGGAACGGGCAGCGGAGCCGCCGTAGTCCTCATCTGAATACGTCCAAGTCTCAGCGGGGCTGTGCAGATTCTCAGCCAAGTGCAGCATCAAATGCACCTTTGGTTTCATTCGCCAGAGTGGATCCTCAGAAGCGTCGCGCAGCGCAGCCAAGAGAAGAGCCAATCGCCCGGCCGCGTGCCGCATCTTTGAGCGAGCGTAGTTGGAGAGAAGGTCATACATGGTAGATAAGCACGAGATGGCCTGGATGACCGTATCCTCGAAAGCATCGTTGGGATTCAAACATTCTTTTGCTGCTTGCAGAAGCCAAGGAATCAGGTGGCGGCACTCGGCAGCCCCAGCTGTCAACTTTGGCGGGGTGGTGCTGCTCTTTCGAATCATGGTTTCAGTCAAAGTATTCAATTTGTCCTGCACCCCGGTTTCTTTGTAGTATTTGGCAATTTGCAAATACAGCTTGCTGACGCGCATCTTCACATTTGCACCCGGCATCTTGCCTTGCAATACCCAAAGAACATTTCCAGCAACATCAGCAGCGACGCCCAAGTCCATGATGTGAAGCCAATCTAGCTTGAACATGTTGATGGTAAAGGCTGGCAGCGAAAACAGCGGGCTGCAAAGATGGCCTTGGGCTAGCAGTCTTTGGACCAAGTCCGTCGTGCACCAAGGCACCCTCCACGGCGCAGCTGCTGAAGCATCCCTCATGTTGTCGGGCGTAGCTGGGCAAAGCCAGCAGCAGCCAGCCTTCTCATTGTGCTGAGGTAGGCGGAAAACATCTTTGAGCATCTTCCAATCTCCTCGCACCGCAGGGCACAAAGAAACAATCGAATGCAGTTGGGCTGCCCGAAAAAGAGGACAGGAAAAGTATTCAAATTATATATTTAAAGAAAGAAAACGGCAAACGCGGGGCGTCCTCGCACTTGGGTCAGCATGCAGCGCTGCAGCGGCTTCTCGGCCCAGTTTTTCCGACCAGCATCAGAAGTTGCGAAAGGTTGGCCATCATGTCGGCAAGAAGGCATGGCACCCAGAAACAACATTCGCAAGGACCAGCAAATAACTTCGAAGACTGCATCAAATGTTTTGTGCTTGCTGCAAAAGTGTTGCTTGATGCCAAACAATGGTATGCGGACACTCCTATGAGGGCCACATGCGCTGGGAAAACTAATGGTCAAGACGTTCAAACTGTGGGAGCGATCCCAATTGCATGAGACACCATCCATCCAGAGGCCCAGGGGCAGCAGAGGCACATCGCGGCCAAGAAGTATTTTGCCAGTCTCCAGCAAAGCTCTTTCATCCGTTGGCAGGTGGGCCAAATCGGAAAAATTGCCGATGTCTGTCCACTGGAACATTGCATGGACAACTTCGTGGGGTAAGAGAAAAGGAATTTGCACGATTTCTTCTTTCTGCTTCTTGTCTAACCACACAGGGATATCTGCCCAGTACAAAGGTGGCCAGTGGGAGCTCTTTCGAAGGCGTCGGAGCAAATCACGCGCGCTATTGCCATCTGGTCTTTTGTTTCCAGCAAGGTCAGTGACATGGTGTGTCCCAGCAGCATTGGCATCTGCAAACAGGGAATGGGCACGCTGGGCTGCAAGGTCACCACTTAGAAACAAATCAGACAAATTAGCGCGAAAGCGCTTGTCCGGTGGCAAAGTGCCAGGGTCATAGGGCAACTTCTTCTTAGAATGCATGACGTGGCTGCGGGGGAATCGTGGCAAGCACGAACGCGCGCGTGGACAGGAGCGCAAAGCTCCCGAAAGAATTTCAAAATTGACTGCAAAACTTGAAAATGCCGACGACAACTCCCAGCGTTCTCAGAATTCAAAATTACCCTTGCAGTCTCGGAAGTGGAGGAAAAGGAGGAAGACAGAGTGCAACAGCACGATCTTTTTTGGTCTCCGCGCAGGACATCCGCAGCTGTTGCGAAATGTTCTAAGGACATGGACAAAATTGCAGCTGGTACAGCTGAGTTCTCTAAATTTCTAGGCCATCCACCCTCTGGCACGCTTATTCAGCAGCGTCACTTCGTCCATATGCTGGGCGGCTTGGTCGCACCAGTGAAGCAGCTTGCCACCCTCTTTCTCGCAGACATCTTCCGCCAGGTCGGTCTTGCCTTGCTTCTCGGCAGCCGCGGTGACGAGCCGAAACTGGGTAAAGAAACTGGAAAATGTATCCAACTGCTTCTGGAACTCTTTGTGCTTCTCTGGCAAAGAAGCTTGCAACTGGGCTGACAACTTCTGAGCATCATTGTAGAGACGCTCCAATCGCTTGATGCCCTGGTTGGCTGTCTTCAAAGCAGTGGCGAATTCCTGTTTTTTTGGGTTCTCGATCTTGATCTCCACCTGGTCTTTGGAAGCTTTGGACATTTGGGAGCTGTCCATGTCAGCATGGATGTGGAAAGTGCGAGCGTCTTTGTTGGTAGCAGCCGTTGTAGTCGATTCTTGCTCCTTGTAGAAGTAGCGAACCAGCTCGGGAATCGCATGGTCTTTCGTCGCCCTTTGGAAGTTGTAGGTGGCAGCGCTCTCTTCCAGCAAGGCTTCCAACAATTCCTGCTGCTTCTCCGGGGCATAGTCTGTCCAGCGCAAGCCATTCATCTCCAAGATTTTTGGCCTGAGCCCACATCCGCGAAAAAAAATGAGAATATAAATATACCATGTGTGTTTTCATGTTGCTTGCATTAAGGAACTTGGGATTCCAAAAAAGGAGCCTGCGGAAAAAGCAAATCCAGCAGAAACAAGGCACCCAGTGAGGAAACTTTCTGTGGCACTGTGGGTGGTGGTGGCGGTTTCTTCACGAGTCTCAGCAAACTGTCCAAACCATGTCAAATTCTGCAGGCCGTGGGCTTTCAAATTCTGCAGAAAGTGTTGCTTCTTGCTCTCATCCAAGTTGCGGTAAGTCTAGCCGGCTGCGCGCATTTCGCGGAAGAGGTCGACAGAGGGCATGAAGGGGAAAGCTATGCTGTGAAACACGCTACGTAAACAAATTCAAATCTAGTTGGGCTCCCAATCATACCGTCAAACCCTGCCAAACCCTGCCAAACCCTGCCTGCAAGACTTTCTGAGCCTCTGCCAAATTCTCACCCTTCTTGTTCTTGTCAGGATCTGCACGGTATTTGAGGACGTTGAGTAGCCGTTGGTTTTCTGCCTTGGTGATTGGCTGGGCATCTGGCACGGCCACAACTCCAGTGGCGTCAGGAACAGCCTTTGCCTTCGACTTTGGTGATGCCTTTGCTTTCTGCAATTTCCGCGCCTTTTGGGCCGCAGCCTTCACCGTGGCAGTACTCTTGGCCGCCGCCTTCGGAGCCATCGCGCGAAAGCAGCTGAGCAGCAACGACAAACCACGCACCAACTGTCTCTGTCTCTCATATCTTGCAGGTAAGAAAAAGCAAATCAAAACGCTTGTGCTGTCACTGTTTCAAAACATGACTCACATGTCGCAATTGCAAAAAGACACTTGCAATCACATACCACACTTGATGTCCACGAAGAACAAGAAATGGCAAGACGCTCTTTCAGGTCAAGGGCATAGCCTGGGGGAAGTCATCAGCTCTACTGTCCACCATCATGTCTCCAAAAATTTCTATGTTAAAAGTATGTGAGCCCCAGGACAAAAGGTGAAGGTTGAAAATTTCAACCTGCAAGGTTGAAATTTTCAACCTGGTTTGCTTTACTTTTAAAGGGAAAGAGGTTGAAAATTTCAACCTGCAAGGTTGAAATTTTCAACCTCCCCGCTTGCAGCAGCAGTCCAACTCAATCTTTCCAGGCATGGCGCAGACAGCATCAAAATTGCGATCAGACGATCGCAGCTCTGGACAAAATCTCTAATTAGTCTACAGCAACCTGGGAATCCGATGGTTGGCTTGGCAGCTCCAAAGGCCCGATGCGGCAGGACTTGGCATTGCGCGCGCGTTGGTAGGACAAATAGTAATCCTTCAAAAGATGACATTCGCACGTGCATGTATCCTGGTGTCTGTACAGCAGGTTGCAAGAACAGGTGAAACAGTCAACGTAAGAATCTATTCCCCTCCCCTCACGAGACATCACAGCTGTCCCGCAATAGACGAAGCCTGTCTTGCTTGAGGGCACAAAGGGAACAGAGTTGACCCAAAGGACCTTCACTTCTCCAAAGTCTTGGGTATTGTCTCTGGGCGGAGCCGGAGTGGCAGCAGCATCATCGGGCGCATGACGCTTCTTGAAGGTGCGCTTGGGCTCCCACACGGCCAGCTCCTCAGGCGTGCTTGGAGAATCCAGCAAGGTCCCATGTCCAGCGGCTGCGTGGCTACTGGAAGGTGGTGTTGCAATAGCTGCTTCCATGGCCGCTTCCAATTCCGCCAAGCTGGCTTCTTGTTCAGAAGTCATACTATCTTGCGACATTTCTACCGCGATCTCTATTCTTGTCTCATCAAAATGCTGGCAGCAGGTATTCTCTTGGTCCCCGCAAAAAACATCAAAAAACAAACAGGAGCGACATCACTCCCGAAAAATAGAAAAGGCAGTCCAACCGGTAACCAAAAAAACAGGAGTTAAAAAAATCTCCCGCAAAAAAAAACCAACATGCTTTTCCAACCCGGAACGTGACCAGCTCTCATGTAGTCACTGCACGACTGCTCCGACGCAGTTACTTAGCTGTCAACACATTCGACACCCACCACGACTCTAACAGGCGCACCTTTTTTCTGGAAGAGGCGGTCAGCGGCACAGTAGCTTCCTACTTAGAATCCTTTGCGGCCCTTGGCAGGCTTCTTGACTTTCTTAGCAGCAGCCTTTTTGGCCGCAGCCTTTTTGGCCGCAGCCTTCTTGGCAGCAGGCTTTGCAGCCCTCTTGGCTTTTGCCTTAGCTGCGCGTCTACGACGCGAAGGCGCCTCTGATTCCCCCGGCTCAGCTTCGGCAGGCACCGTTCCCACAGGCACCTCTGCAGCCACAGCTGGTGTCACAGCAGCAGTCCCAGCTGGTGGCACAGCAGGTGGTCCATTTGCTGGTGCGGGCAAACCTGGGAAAGCCGGCCGCGCACTGGCTGCTCCTCCCATCATAGCGGCAAGCATGTCGGCAACACCAGCGACCGGCGGCACAGCAGCCAGAGCAGCGCCAAACTGATCCCCTCCAACTGCCGGCAGCATGGACTGCTGCCATGTCACCCCAATTTCCATTTGCACCCGGGGACTGCTGCGATGCAGAAGCGAAGTTGGGGTCCAAGAAGTGGTATTGATTCTTGTAGCCTCGGGAAACTGACATATCCCTAAATTAAGGGTGCTCTAACTATATTGTTTATTCATACGCACATATACCCTCATATCAACAGGGTGGCTGACACCCCGAAAAAAAAGTTGGAAGGAAAAACAAAAACAGTACAACACACTCATATACCTTCAGGGGAAACTAAAAAACGTCATCCAAGGCTCTCCACTGGCGACAAAGGCATAAGGCGTGTGCCATGGCCCCCTTGCTCCTGCTGGTGAAGGGAAAGCCGAGCACTTCTGCAAGGCTAAAATCCCCGGAGGTACCGAAGATGCAGCCTCACTAGCTGCAGGCACAGGAGCTGCAGGCACAGGAGCTGCAGGCACACTAGCTGCAGGCTCATGAGTCCCAGCAGCCGCCGCAGCAGCAGTTGCACGAGGCCGCCGCGCCCTCTCAGTCGTGCTGTAGCCGCGCGCAAAGCCACGGTCTCGATGCCTGCTTCCCTTCGACTTCCGCTGCAACATGCTGGAGTACTGGGACCTGTCGCTCCAGCTGCGAGCGGAGTCGGAACCCTTCTGCGCATACTGCCAATTCGCTTGCGTCGCGAAAAACAGTTCCTTACTGTGCCAGTGGCACCGTTTGAAAAAAAAAACAGGAGCGCAGCAGACTCCCGGAAAAAAGTGTTTAAAAAAACAAACCATTACTTCTCCCTTATTTATTGGAGGGTTTCTTTCTTCTTAGGGGAAACCAAAAAAAAACACATCCAAGCTGCGCAGGCAGGATTGGCGCAACCACCTTTCCTGAGGTACTCCATCTTCCCGCACCTTTGGCACTTTCTGCGAGAAAACTTGCTCAGGTCTTCCTCTTCATCTTCTTCATCATCCATGTCGCGCCGGCCCCCATCTCCGCGGCCATGTCCGCCGCCGCCGCGGCCGCCACCACCAAAGCCGCCACCACCAAAGCCGCCGCCGCCAAAGCCGCCGCCCGACCCTCCGGTCGACCCAGGAGAGCTCTCGCCAATGACTCGCACATCTACGGTGGCCATCGGAAAAAGGAGCAGTTGGTCGAAACACAAAAAGGGGCTGCGGAAACAAATGGCTACGGAAACGAACATACACTCCAATGTCCAAGCCCCTCAAGCAAGCACTTGCACTGCACTCACAAAAATTTCCGAAAACACCCCATAAATAAAAAAAGGGGCGAAAGCACCAATTCTTTCTCCAAGTAAAGCAACAAAAAAAAACAAGCCAAGCAAAAAAAACAACAACAGTCCTGTTCCAACTACGCGCAGAAAAAAAGCCGCGCTTTTCATCCTCTGCAAAATTTGCAATCATTTCGAAACTTCCGCTTTGGCCCAGTGTGCCACTGCCTCTTCACACTCACCCTGCACAAGACGATTGCGCGCCTCTGTCGCAATCTGGCTCAGGGCCTCTTTGGAAATTCTGTTTCTGCCTACAATTTCTACTATTTGTCTCTTTTGACAGCGGCCATCAACAACCGAAGCCTTACGTATGGAA